GAGGCAGAGAGGCCCACAAAGTTAGAAGCGCACAAAATTCTAAGCGTACGGCGGGAACCGGGAGCAGGCGGGAACCGGGCAGTGGGACCGCTTTGGGGGTGAGGCCGAGGCGGAGAGGCCCACGAAGTTAGAGGCGCACAAAATTTCAAGCGCGCGTCGAAAAACTGAAGCGCCTCAAGGGATAGCGGGGGCGAGGCGGGCCCAGGGGGGGGTGGGAACAGGTGAGCGAAAATGCAAGCGGCGCGTTGCAAGGGCAGGTGCGTGCAGGTGACAGTTGGGAGAGGGCAGGTTTGTGTAGGTGACGGTTGGGAGGGGGGTCAGGCCGATGAGCGACACTGAAAACGAAGCGGGCCGTGGCGAGGCTCTACGTTGGGAGGCCGACGGAGTCCGAGGTCGAGCGCAACGCGGACCAAGAAGTGGGACGGGCCAAGCGCCATGCGGGATGTAAACGCTGACGGATTGCGGCCGCGGAACCTGGGCGCGAACGGGAGGCGGGTGCTGACCATGCCGACAATGTGCGTGGGGGGGGACGAACCATTGTATGGTGTTGTTAAGCGGTGTGAAAGGGAGGAGGCGCGCGCGAGCGAGCAAGCGAGAGAGAGAGAGAGAGAGAGAGAGAGAGAGAGAGAGAGAGAGAGAGAGAGAGGACCGCCGCAAGGACTGCCGACGGGTGAGGGCACGACCAGTGGGACAAGCGGGAGGAGGAAGGGGGGGAAGAGCAGGAGGAGCAGCGGGAGGAGGAGGAAGAGATGTGAGGGCAGGAAGGTGACAATCGGGGGAAGTAGAGGTTGGGATGGAGAAATGGGATCAGAGAGGGAAGTCGGGATCGGGGGATAGAGGTGGGGATCGATGGGCGGAAGTGGGGGGAAGGAAGCCGGGATGGGGAGGGAAGTTGTCGGACGGAGGTCGGGGGAGGGAGGTCGGGGGAGGAAGGTCGGAGGAGGGAGTCGGGATCGGGGAGAGAGGTGGGGATCGGTGGAGGGAAGGGGATCGGTGGAGGGAAGGCGGTCGGGGGGGAGGTGGGGACTGATGGAGGAAAGTCGGGATTGGGGACAGAGGTGGATATCGATGGAGGGAAGTAGGGGGAGGCATGCTGTGTAGCGGACCTCGGGTTGGCCTGTGAGACCAGCCCCTTGGCCTGTTCTCACAAGCCTGTGTTATATTTGGGGTAGGCTTGTCCAGGCCGGTACCTCTGTCGGTACCAGCCAGTGCAGTCCAGTCCCGTCAGTCCGCTGGGGTATACCCCAGCCATTGTCTGTTTTCAGTCTCATTCCTCACTTGCACATTTTGGAGTACGTGCGTTGGAGTCTTGCGTGGGGAGTTGCGTTGTGCCATCTTGCTCCCCCTTCTTCCTCCATCTCCATCTCTGTCACTAGCGGAGCACCACACCTGGTGGGTCTGCTACATTGGTATCGGAGCGGGAACGGTCCCCGCCCCCACCCACCACACTGCACAGCAGGGAAATACGGCAAAACCCGACAGTCGGGTTTTGGGCTGTTTTTGGGGCGTTTTCGGGCAAAAAAGCAGGAAAAACATCGAAAAAAGGTGCTGCAGCAGGAGAACTCCACCTGGCGAAAAAGGAAGCCGCATCACGACGCGCAAGCGCAAGCGCCAAGGCTAAGGCCGCCGCACGCGCACGCGCCCACGCTGCCCCGCCCCACCCCGCTCCCTGCTGCTGCTGGGGTTTGAACCCAGGCACTTGTCGAGCCATGCGCGTGCGTAAGCAGCCTCATAACACATTCGCCACTGTGTGACCATGGCTCTGTAGCACGGCACACTCGTGTT